AATTTACGAAATTTGGCATTATCCCCAAAAGGCGACCTGTTTTCCAAGTATATAAGCACTTTTATGAGCGAAAAGGCCGCAGCTAGCGGATACCCTGCGGGGTGCCTGTCTGACAGTGACAGACTGGCCTACCTTAAATTATTAAAGGATAGGGACGGTGTTGTTGTGCACCCTGATAGAATGGAAAACAATCCAACGCGGCGACTGCTCTCCAAACTAATGCTGAACACGTTATGGGGCCGGTTGGCGATTAAAGAAAACAAACCAAAGTTCGAGTATGTCAAAACTATGAAGCGATTTAACGAACTGTTTTATTCCGGCACGTTTGATGTTAACTACATCGACGTCATTAATAATGATGTCCTGCAAGTTCAAAGCACCAGTATTTGCAATGTTGACAGTACAGATCTTCGAGCAAATATTATTGTTGCTGGCTTTGTGACAAGCTATGCACGCTTAGAACTCTATGCAGGAATGAGCAGTGTGGGAATAGAGCGGCTGCTCTATGTTGACACGGACTGTGTTATTGCAATGGAAGGCCCTGGATTAGCCACGCTTCCGGTTGGAGATTGTTTAGGAGAATTCAAGTCTGAGATCGGCGATGATAAAATAGTGTTGTTTGTGTGCGGAGGGCCGAAAATGTACGCCTATCGCACCGCAAAAGGCCATACTGCATTTAAAGCAAAAGGCATTACAATTAACCAGGGAAATATCGATTTCTTCACTCCGGAAACGCTTGCAGAGCTGGTGAAAGACACCAAAATTATGCATTATTTCATGAATCCGTACAAAATATTTCGCATCAAAGGAAAATGGGAACTGCAAACACGAGAGCAAAGGAAGATGCTACGGTTTACGTTTGATAAACGGGTAATAATCCGCAAGAGCGGCTTTCGCACTGAGCCATTCGGATTTCGCCGAGACTGATTTAAAGCGAATGTTGTATATAAGCAGGAGGGCAGGTGACCATCATTCATCAAGTGCCGGCTGTCGGGCGGGTGTAATCTTATACAAGTCGTTAACTATGATGTATACTTCCTATTGCTTCGAACCTATGCTGATCCACCCGTTTAATTTGGTATGCAGCTGTCAGAGCCAGGGCGGCAAAACGTATTGGATTAATCAACTCTTAGAACGCCGCAAGATCACGCCATTTCCCAAGCGAATCCACTTTATTTATTCTTATGAGTCTCCTATTTTTAAAGTTATTAAAAACATACAAAAACGTTGTTTTTATTAAGAATATTCCCGATGATATTGCTGAAGAAAGTTTTACAAATAAAAATGAGCCTTCGCTTATTATTTTAGACGATCAGATGCAAAACATCAATAAAGATATTGTTTCATTATTCACTCGCGGTACGCACCACTTAAATCGATCTGTTATACTTACTGTACAGAATGTTTTTTTCCAAAATCCAATGATGAGAACAATATCGCTCAATGCACATTATCTCGTATTATGGAAACAACCACGAGACATGATGCAGATTGAGATTCTTGCCCGTCAAATGTATCCTCGAAGCTCGGCTCGTTTTATGGAAGCCTATAAATTAGCTACAAGCAGAGACTATGGTTACCTTTTCTTAGATTATAAGTCGTGCACGCCTGACGCCTTACGCGTTCGATCTAACATTCTCGAAGAAGGAGAAAGTGACCGTTACCAAAGAATATATGCAATCACGGACTCAGGAATGGAGGAATTTGCACTAGTGCCAGTGAAACACCTCGATGATAACCGAGCTCGCATACGGTCCGGCCGCGGTCAGCAAAAACGCCACCGAAAGCCGAGAAAAAAACTTGCCGCAAGCGAGAAAAAAAAATTTAAGAAGAGCAATTCGAGGAAAGGAAGGAAATCAACTTTGTCGTTGGCAGATCCTACTCATCTTCATAAGATCATTTAATGTTGTCATTTGTACTATTTATTTTTCTCTAGAATTTTTGCTACTACGAGTTTGAAATTGTTTATATCTCTCCCTGTACCGTGGTAAAAATGACATAAAACTTATATGGTGATTTTCAACTTTTTATGTGTGTGAGTGTGAGTTTGTGTGTGTTCATATGACCTTTAGGAGATATCGAATTTGATTAACAACACACTTGCATTTTATTCTGATTCATGTATGCGCACAGGCGAACAAACAAACATTAAGCATCTTCAGGCGAAAAAGCAGCTGCTTCGCTATTATCAAAATCTTCGTCAGCATCGTCAGTTTTGTCTTCGAAAAATTCAGGGTCACTTTCATCATCACTAGTGCATTGTACAGTATTTTGCGTACTCTTTACCTGCGGCGCGCCCCGAATTTTTTTTCTAGGTAAGCGCTGCGATTCAGTAGTATTTTTTCTTTTTCGCTGTTGGATACTTTTGGCTGAGCGGTTGCGTGCTGCCGGTACGGAGAGGGGTTGTGGGGGTCTGACGGCGGCAGCGGAATAACGACGAGCTGTAGGTTTTGCTTGTAGGCATGGAGTAGCGGCTTTCCACTGGTTTACATGGCGCATTAATTGACGGACGGCATTTAAAAACTCCGGTATATAATCGATGGGGAAGTAAAACCCGTATTTGGTCGGCCGGTAACATCCATCATCACCCTGCTGGCCGCGTGGTTGGCTTATCAGGCGCATATCCACTCGAGGCGCTTCTGGCTTGTACAGGCTGAGACTGAGCATGATGCAGGTGGGTTTGTGCTGAAACAGAAGATGGTGGTATTGCGTTCACACTGGTACAGCGCATCACTTCATCATTTTTAATATTGACAAAGTCGCTAGAATTGCGTTTAACTGGAAAGAGGATGATATCCAGGCGGCTAGCTCCTGCCTGATAAGTGGAAGGTACAGCTGTGATGTTGAGCTGGTAACTTGGCAACCTGTTTCTGTTTTGTTGTAGAGTACTGTTTAACAGGTTGAAAAAATCAAAATTTTTACGAATAAGGTATGCTCTTGAGCTTCTAATAAGAAATAACGTTTCATTAATAAAGCGTCCGACCAATATTCCTTTCTCGTCCATAAACGTCGAGGTTTCATTAGCAAATCTGCTGATAGAAGCATTTCCACGCGCCAATAAACAGATAGTTGTTAGCTGCATTGAAAAAATTATGAAAAATAAGGTAGCGCCTTTTTGTTTCTGCCATGTCATCATCATATGCTCCCGAAAAGCCATCATCCTCTTTCACTAGAACGCATATACACTGCATGAAAACTGAAAGATGGTTTCCTTGTTAATGCATTTATATACCATTTACTCACACTTACCACAATAATAAAAGGAGCAGACTGGACAAGGTGTTGATACTCGGGCTTGTTGGTCAACGCCTCCTCGTTGCTGCAAATATCCAAATTATTCACAACTGTGCTATCCATATCCGTTCTAATGGGCATCTAAAAGGCAGAGGGCAGCTTTTATTTCCCGAAACATTTTTGGTGTCTTTGTTGATGCCCGCCCAGTCACGTAAACCTCTGAAATAACACACTCCCACTTTCCTCCCCTCAGTGTAATTGTTGGCAATTATTTCTGGCAGATACTGTAACACCCGCCTAGTCACGCAATCTCTTTAGTTGCGCACTCCCACGTTCCTCCCCCGAAAATAATTGTCGACAATTATTTGTGGCGCGGTTATCATATAAACTGTCTTTCTTCACATAAGGCTTGAGTTTTAAAGTTTTCACCAGCGGAAATGGCGGAAATAAATAACTTTGAACCTTGCATCGTGCGTGAGGACGATGGCATGTTACATTTACATGCTGGCAAAGGTCAGATGCCTGATAGCCACCGTTTGGGCAAAGTTGATGGATTTTTATCGATTAATCTTACTCATTCTGTATACTGTTTATTTTGTCAAGCCATCGAATTTGATTTGTCCTTTGTTTCGAACCCTTTGCAACTGCATCTGAAACGAAATCCAGATTGTGCCAAGTTGCGAGAGAATTTTTTTCCGCTCACCTACACTTCCAGGAAGTTAGACGTACAGCCAGGATTTGCCCCCTACTTTTCCGATTTTGAGACGCGAGTTAACTCTTTCACCACCTGGTCAAAGCAGTTACAACAAACCCCTACCCAGTTAGCACATGCCGGATTCTTTTATCAGGGATATGGTGACACCGTCACCTGCTTTTACTGCGGGGTGAATCTGAACCGATGGAAAGCGAGCGATGTTCCGCTTATGCAGCATTTACACTGGTCTCCAACCTGTCTATACTTGCTTACACGACTTACTGATGCGACCGCTTTCCCCCGACCGCCATCGCCACCACCACCACCCCCGTCGCCTTCGGTACCTACTGTAGAGTCATCGTCATCATCGACAGCTGTTCAACAAATTAAAGATACGGAGAAATCATGCACTGCCACTACTACGGAAACTACGAAACTGAAAGATAAAGTCGGCAAAACTAGGTGCGATGACGAGTACGGCGGAGACAGCAACGCCCCCGCCAGCAGCAGCGTGCCCTTCACTCCCTCTGGCAGCGCCTTACACAGAAAAGCTATGCGCTACGGCTACACTCGAGAGGAAATTAAAGATGCTATTGCCTCCTTTAACCGGATCAATGCCACTGGCACGGAAATTCATCTATATAGCCTTCTCACACATTTGCAAGCTAATCGAATGCAACGCATGGAAATGGAACGTGAATATAGAATTTTTTTCTGTGCACGGTGTGATCGTAAAACACAGCACTGTTCAGGAGCTCGTGATCGAATACTGTTTGATGGAACAAACTGGGTGCAGCGCAGTGTAAGCTATGGCGGAGGTGGTGAAAAATTTGCTACTGACTATTTTGAATGTCGTGAATGTGACCAACACAGCCTGTTATGACGATGATACGGTACGACACAACGTGAGTAAACGAAATTCTCGAATTTACTATTATTGCTATTTTTTCTCATCGTAACAATCGCAGTAACATGTTTTTTTACAAAAAATAGGTTTCCTTTCCGTACGCTTAGTTATAAACACAAGTTTTCCGCATTCGTTATCATATAAACCAACAAAACTCCATGTAACAATAGCTACAAATTCTAGAAACTGAAAAACGACCGTATAACAATGTCAAACTCGAAAAATAACAAAAAATATGAGCAATAAGCCCGAAAACAATAATAATGGTTCATACAATCCAGACAAAAACATCCACTCGATCATCTAAACAACAGTCACGGAAAGGAATGTGAATAACGCTCTCACTCATTCTTCTCCGCTACATCGGCACCTGCAGCTTCAGCGTCGGCACTGACGCCGGCGGCAGCGGTGTTTCCAGGTGACGACACTTCGGGAGACGTTGACGGTGAAGGTGACGGAGAGAGTACGACGCTGGGAACGCTGACGGCAGTAACCGTTCCCGTCGATTCCTGTTTCCAGTCGCGCACATTTATCGGATCAGGAAGGTAGTGCCCTCTGGACAACTCCCGGCGCGGTACAACGGCCATATAATGATAGTTGGAGTACAACACCCGCACCGTATCCTCCGCGCGTGTGCTCTTGGCATAGAGCGGAACATACAGCAAATGACGCTTTCCCAAGTCACGCTCCACACGAATCCGTTTAGTCAACTGAAAAAGCATCAGCAAATTGTTAACTAATTGCTCCACTCAAGTAAGTGCTGCTTTGAGACGACGGTTCACCCACCTCGTTGGGGCAAATGGTCTCCCAGTCCTCAGGACGATGCTTTGAATCATCAAATCCGCGGTACGAGCAGACTTGTCGTTGGAGAGCAGTGGCTACGGCTAAGAGATGTATATCCGTGGCCCAGTTATCCTTCGGGAGTTCAGCTGCGGTAACGGCTGTTCGATAGATGATGTCGAGGAGTCCGAAATCTTTCCGCACCGAAATTGGCGTCAGGTGGGGGAGGAAGCTGTGAAAGTGTATCACCAACACCGCCACTGCGGCTAGTCGAAGGTGGACATGATAGCCGTTGTTCAGGAAGAGAGACATTGATGCAGCACGGAAGAAGCAGTTCCCGTCCCCAGGAACGTTAATGATACTGAACTGTTGCTGGAACGGAGTATAGAACGCTTTCACGGGCTGCTTTCGTTCGTTGTCACGGCATGGGATGGCATGAACTTGAAGTGAATCATGAAGTTGTTGTAGCAGGGCATTGTTGTTGCTCAGTAGCTGCAAAACGCCAAAAATCTTAATAAAAAGAATTCAGATAAAGACAGCTCGGTTAGAGAGTTTACCGCGCGCAAAGCAGCAAGTGCCTTAAGTCCTTCCTGGCTGTTGTCATCCTGACGCACGCTTTCAGGTTGCAGCACGGTCCGAACCGCATCCATAAGATCCTTTACTGGGGCATCTTCAGGCAACCTACAATTCTGCAGCCGAAAAAGAAACTTGAAGTAAACCCCTCATGTTTTATTGATTTCCGAACTGTCTTACCAGAACATCTTCGCCATCTTCAACGACCGTGTAGAAACGTTTTCGGTCGTAGAAAAACGTTTTTGCGTGCAACTCTTCAAGTTCAGCACACTGGTAAGCCGTAAAGATGATTTCGTGAACGGATCTCTGCAGGTCTTGCGAAATGTGTGCATCGATCAACGTGCCCATGGCCAAATCAACCTCCGACCCATCCACGTCCACCATTTCCTGATAATGCGTGCAGTTCGACCGGAAATATCCGAAAGAGAGGACCGTGGCATGAGGCGAGTTGTCCCGTGGAAAATCCAGCACACGCACGACTTCCGGCCGGAAATTTCGCACTGGAACAATCCAGTACGTGCCGATGTAGGACTGGGGCGCACAATCTGTTCGGCGGTTAAACAGCCCGTATAGATAAGTTTGCTCTCCATTAGCTCTGTTGCTGTTTGCGTAGCCTTCACTACACTGGCAATAGCATCGTCCGTGAGGTAGTGGACTTTCTTGATAGAAATGGGGGCCTGATCCATTGATGGGTACCACGGATTACCCAGTTCATCCATCCTCTCGTCCCACGCGCGCTTTGTCGCCCTCATGTCATCCGGATAGGTATCATCATCAAACCCGTGAGGCTCACCGTCTTCCATTGCTTTCTTGTCATCTGGACACTGGACGTAGGCATCCGTATCAAGAATAAGCCGTGGATACTGGTCGGGATCTGCAAAGTTGACCGCAATAGCGGCGTTGGCACCCACCTGGCCTCCCCAGTGTGGCCATCCCGGCGAGAGAATAAATGCCTGGCCGGCACGGAGAGCTGCATAGTAGACGGGAATACCGAGGTCAATTAGGCGATTAGCAATGAGGAGGTAGGCACACTTATGGTGGTGTCCAATAGCGTACTGTGGACATCCGCATCCATTTATCCATCCCAGTTCTCTGTAAACATCATCCACTACCTTTTGGACTATGGGAGCGTGCTCTGGGCGGGTGGCATAAATCACTTTAACGGCTTCATCATCATCAATCCACAGGACGATGTTTATCGCCCCCAGAAGGCCATCTTCTCGGTGTTTGAAAAATACGGAAACGCCAGGCGCGAAAATGAATTCGGGAACGTTTATTCCCTCTGCTTGTGTGTATTCACTCTGCAGCCGGTTCCATACACGACTCAAACACACGAGCCCATCAAAATTAGGTAGCTGCAAAAACGTTCAAGCGGTGGATTAGTCTTGCAGCAAGCGCAATAAATTTTTAAAATTTCACTATCGAAAATTGCACGTCCTTGACTTACATTCGGTAGAACATCGGAAGGAAGGTGTGCGTAATTGGCCTCCACCAGTTCATTGGTGGCTTTTGTGGAAGCTAACTGAGCAAGTGCGATACTCAGTGCTTTATGGGGAGCCGGCACACTGGGATTCTCCAACATTTCCATCAGCTCCTCCCGCACACCTGGAACGCGCTTATCCAGCGACTCCTTGACCTTCTTTGACTTGGCAATAAACTCCGTCATGGTTTCTCCTTCTTCGAGCCGGTGTTGCTCGTTAGTGGACTCCACAACGATAAGCTCTTTGTGCAACCGATTAACCACCTGCTTAGTGTAGGTAATCTTCCCAGCCACCTCTTGTGCGTGGAACGCTTCGCTCTCGTGCAGCTCGTCGGCATCGTATTTTAAACTGTCTTGCGGTTCAGTCTGTAGAAAATGGAATGTTAAATCAAGGTTTTAATTGAACGCAGATCAAAACAAATTTGAAAAAGTTGTATATTTGAGGTTGATACTTACTACTACTGCGCTTCCTTCTGGGAACAGAACATTAATATCGACAATTCCGTCACTGATGTCCTTGCCGCAGGTTTCTCGTTTGATGTTGATGCGGACCTTAGTAAATGGTATGAAAAGCGGGTGCAGTGGTTTCTCCTCTGGCTCCGAGGGAATCTGTGTAAATGATGAAATTTGTAAAATGTTTTATTGCACACATACGAACATATAAAAGCTTCGACACCCACCACAATGCGCTGACGCAGTGCATCCATTTCTGCCGGTGTCAGTTGGCGTCGGGGTCGAGTGCTAGGAGTGCTGGTTTCGGTATTAGTTCTGGGTGTAGGGGTCGCAATACCCTCAAGTGGCGTTTCATCCACTGTCGTGGCGTGGTTGATCGTTGCCGCGGTATCTACAGGTGTGCTATCCGTGGCGGAAGCAGCAGAAACGGTGGGAACAGGATTTGGAGATGAGGATGCTGATGTAGACGGTGTTAGCGCTACAGGTGCAACAGCAGGACCGGTAGTGTTGGACGCCTAAAGCAACCGAGAACTGTACTATAAAGGCTCGGGGTGTAAAAAAGTACGCATGAGAATTGGGCGTGCTTATACCTTAGCCTTCTTCTTGCCGCGTGGGTGGGCCATTTCGGCAGCCATTGCCACCATGGCTTCGGCAGACTCGGTGACTACGCTAGAATTTTCCGAATCAGGTACGTTACGACCACGCTTTCCTCGGAGTTCACGTGGCGGCGGAGGCGGGGGAGCGGTCTTTTTGGCGGCTTCGTCTTGTGTGCTTTTCTTTCGCGAACCAATACATCGTTTCTGGTTCGGCATCTGTGCGATTAAATAAAACGCCTCAGAAATGAGTGAATAACTGAACCTCTATTGTGTAGAAATTAGAAACTACAAGCGCCTACGTTGACGTGACTCTCGGGCATTCATGCTAGTATGCGCTTTGCTGTGTGTTTACGTGTGTGAATTTAAGCAATGGAAATTTGAAAGTCAAAACCATAATTTGATCAAGCCAGCAGTTATTGTTTTCTTAGCAGTTTAGTAACACAACATCCTTCATACGCATTTATTACCATACAACCAAAGAGAACAACACCTACCCTTGCAAATAACAGCACAAAGAAAATACTACAACATTCCTAAACCGAAACACCGAAGAACAGCTGGGAAAAAACTAATCCTTCAACAAGCCTTTACGATGCATTTTTTTACATTTACTAATCAGCCGCAGTTCCTTCGGCTTCTCCCGGCGCTTCTTCCTCCGACGCTCTTTGGATTTCTTGTCCTTTAGCTTTTTAGCGTGCGCGTTCGCTTTGGCAATCCGCTTTGCTGCCTTGCGCTTCTCCTCCTTCCTGTCCAGTTCCGCTCGCAGGCCGTCCACGTAAGCCAGACCGCTCTCCAACCGCACGGCTAGTCTGCCCAGGTCTGCCTCCCTCTCATCCAGACGCGCCTCCCTCACGGCCATACGGCGCTCGACCTGGCTGTACTTCTGCTCCACCGAAGTACCCGCTGCTTCCTGAAGCCGGCGCTCACGGCGCGCTCCCCACTCCACACACTCCCTCATCCCCACAAAAATCGTTCCCACGGCATGATGGTCCCGCTGCCTGACGCTTTCCTTGGCCAGCTCAATTCCTGCAATGCACACAAAAGCATTAAACAACTCATATTTGCAAGGACAGTAATACTGATAAAGTTGTTCATCAGTAAAAGTCGGTATTACTTACTCTTCTCCACATCAGCAATAGCTTCTACCAGGACGGCATAGAATCTGCGAAACATGATCTCATGGCGCCAGTGCAGGCCATCATTGCGCAGCACGGTGTCTTTCGGTAGAATATGCACATAGCGCCAAACGGTTATCCCGGCGGCGATGACGGACTGGTCACGACAAAACCCCTCTAGCTTCCGGTTCAGGCAGTCCACTGCGCGGGTGCAGGCGTACAGATTTCGAGGAGGGTTTTTGTGCTTGCCGTGGCCCTGGTCTTCCTTGAAATACGGCACACCCACGAGGAAGATTTGATCGCACCAGTCTTCAAGTTGTGCCGACTGCTCCCGGTACACACCGACCGCGTTATCCGCCAGTGGCGTCGCGTCTCCACTGCTTCCGTCCCGCCAGTACTCCTCCAGATCGTTGCTGCCCGCAATAACCACGAGTCGCTTCTTGCCGACGCGATCAGGGCGCCGAGGCCAGGCGTTAGATGTGGTGGTGGTGGTGGTGGTGGTGGTGGTGGAGGACGGCGTCGCGCGGGGATATTCCTCCCACAGCCAGCTCCGGAAGTTTTTAATCACCTTGCACGTCGAGGCTCCATGATGGGCGTCGACGCAGATCTCGCCGTCTGACAGGGTCGAGAAAATGCGCCCCGGCACGGTGCCGCGGCTTCGCCATCCTTTATCCGGCGATCTATCCGCACACAGGAGCACACTGGTGCCCTGTGAGTCCGTTAGGAAGGCCGTGCGAGATCGGTCCAGGCGGCCCACGCTGTTCCGCTTGTGGTCAAAGGACACCGGGCGCAGCTCATGGAATGGTGGCCGGTGGTCGCCCGCGGGCATGGCGACGGATGTGGAGGACGATGGAGATGAGTACGCCATCGTATACTGCAAGGCAATTATTAGGACATAGCAGTACAATAATAAAAGTTTTCCATATGTGGTATTTTAAATTGATTTTGATTTAACAGCATGCCCGAGAGTTCTCGCCTCATTGATAGTGCAAATCTATTCACCTTAATACATGTAAACGAATAACTGTCGTGTCGCTCAGGCCTGGCTCTTCACTGCAATAACGGCTGCCAATGCAAAACGTTAAGATATACCGTGCACAAAACATTAATATTTAGATGTACCGCTATATCATTATCGAAAAACAGTACTTAATGTTAACGCTTCCCAAAATAAAAAGCTTGCTGACCGAAACAGAAAATTAGCATGAAAAAATATTATTAATATTATGGAAAGCTTATACTACCGCAGCATTTTTAGAGAAAATACAAAAGAAAACAATATTTCGGTATGCCAGCGAATTATAGCTTGCTCGGTACTTATTGTACTAGACATTAAAAATAGTGGAAATTATACTGCAAACAAATGTCTTACCTTGCGTTTAACCTGCTGGATCAACTTGATCCCTGCATGCGTCGGAAACAGTGAACTGTGCCGAAGCACTGTCCGCACGTTACCGGCCGGGACAAGGCTGGACTGTGCCGAAGCACTGTCCTCACTTGAACCGGTGGTGGGGATATCCAGGGGACACGCGGCCGGTCACGCCGATGTGGGGAAATGAAGGCGGTGAGCGGAGGAGACACGCAAGCGGGAGACGCGGGGGACAGCACGCCGAAGAAGGACGGCGGAACAACAGTGGACACGGTAGCAATGGCGGGGAACGGTAGATTGAGACCGGTGGCAGTACTCCGGAACGACGAGGTTGGCGTGGAACAGCAGCGCCGCGGAGCAGAGACGATGGCGGAGAATACAACCGTAAACACGGAAGGACAATCTGCAAAAATTATCAAATCAGAACATTATGATAATATTATCGCCATTAGAACCTGCAGGCCAGGCAATAAACCCATCTGACAAATGCCGCGTTTTAACTTGATTTATTAACAGTTGCTACAGTTAAAATCATCTGCAGTGACAAATAAACTGGATAAAATTAAATTCTGCCATTTTCTGTAAAGTCAATCGCTTATCAGTAGCTTGACGATTTAAAGTTTTTAATAAGGACAAAATTCACCGCAATTCTACGCAAAAGTACAAATTCAGTGCACGAAGATAGCCGAATTGAGACGATTACCTTATGCGATTATCTGGAGGATATTCAGCCCGCAGGATATTCAGCCCACCAAAATCAATCGCTTCCACATCATACACCGACCTACCAATCCACAAACACATATTAACATCTTGATGTGGTCATAATTACCAAAGTCATCTCAATACGTAATCAAGAATGCGAAAGCCAGAGCACATTCAAATGCCATTCGATGAACAGAATGCGATTTGGATCGACGAGCATACTGAAAAACATCCGCGAAAATCCGCTACCAGCAGCAAAGACTCGCTGCTGACATGCTGGTGTGCACACTGCGCTACGCTGTAAGAAAAGACTTCACTTACAAAACTCACCATTGTTCCCGGAGACGGACGGATGAACCCGCTGCAAACTAAATACGGATACTCGAGAGTGGATAGGGCCAAGTTTTCGCAGACAAGTCGAACAAACTAATCCAGTCCGGTGCAGCGGATTATCGATAAGTATAACGGAATCCCAGACGCAGAACACCAGTGCATTGACTCAAAACCCCATGTCACAGATAGGTTTAATGCTTAATGAACTCAAAAAGGATTCATTTTACTGTAGGGTAAAATAAAAATGCAAAACATTATTATTCCTGGCAGCAAAAAACTCGGGAAAACGGCGAACCCAAGGCAATATCAAGCGTTGGAAATTAGACTGCTACGTGCAAACCAATATTATGTTTGCCAGTCGATTTGCACGCACACATTGGTGCGCAGTGGGTGCGCCACCGCGGATAGTATACACGTTCCCTTCGGGAACGTGTAAGAACTGGTGTATTCCAATACATCAGGCTCTGCGATTCGTAGCGAGGGGAGGCATGCCCCTGCCGTATGGCAACCGCCCGCGTTAGTCGCTGTGCTGGCAGTTAGACGCGGGACGCGGGGGTAAATGCCAGCACAGCAGGTGGTACCTATATCATCACGCCAGAATCGATCTGCTCAAGAAATTATCTCCAGACTCCTGGTACTCGTATATTTTACAACATCATACGGATTGACTTTCGATTTATGTACTTAACGGGGCGTACGTCCTGGCGTCCATAATTTATCGACCAGTTTCCCATTTTTCGTCATTTTCGGGCGTGAAACTAGCTCCCGGTTGACCTTATTTTCCCCACCAAACCTGAACCTTTTGTGTTGGACTTTCATAAGCGATACGAGTACACCAATCTATCAAGTGAAATGACCGCCCGTGTAGAACAGTCTCAGGTTCGTTCGTTATTCTATTACAATTAATCAAAGCAAGGCATGATATATAACGTTGGAGATTTATTGCTTCTTCACAAACCTAGGTTTCAGCAAAAAACAGCCCGGAAATTTTCTACGGATTTTTTTATTGATCCGGATTCGAGGCTACAGACGGTTTTTCAAGATAACAGCCGATTCTCATAGGACGGAATTTTCAAAGGTAGGCATACTGTCAGAGTAAAGGAAGAAACACTTATGTAGTAAATAAAATATATATATTATGATAAACAAATCTGTAGTTATAACCACTATAGATTATAACCACTATAGGTTATAACCACTATACAAACGCATGGCAAGTTTCCGTTTAGGTAGCACAAACGATGTTCGAAAGCTATTTTCCGCTTGATTCTGCCTCTGTAGTCGGCATTTTACGTCGAGCCAAGTGCTTCTTTGTGTGCCACCCGGCATCTGTCCGCTCATGGCAACCATGGTCCAGCGATTCGAATGTCTACAGACATACTAGTATGCTTGTTCTTTTAGCGCGTGCACTTTTTTCGTAGGCAACGCATCCCGGGAGAGACGAGTGGAACAAGAAAACCAAGTTATCAGTTACGGACAACAGTTGCAGCCGGGTCGGATATAATTCTGTTGTCACAGAACTTGACCCGCGTGGCCCGTGTTTCCTGACTCCATTAGGCCGGTAGAGCAAGCGTTCCCGTTATAATACCCACCCTCTTCGTCGTTAGATACCATGCAGTTTGGTCCCGGCGCCAGCATCATCCGCGTTCCTTATTAGCTACTTGTACTTTATACGTATTTGTACTTGTAGCACTGTACTTAACTGCATGGACTTGATTTATATGGGATTCATTTATGGGTAACATTTATGGCTCATTTACAGTAATGTAATGATTTAATGAATGGCATTGCCGTGGGGATTCCGTATTCATTATCTGTTTTTTGATTGTTTGAAGTTTAAATCTAATCGCGCTAGTTTTAATTTGCATCATTCTGTCGATGATTAATCAGTAAAATCTGACAGAGTCGGTTTGAAAACGTAAAACTAAAAAGTCTGAAGATCAAACTGATGGTACAAAAAGATAAAAAACATTGACAGAAAGCGACGCAGGACAACAGCAAATCAGAGGCGAACGTAGATATAATTTGCGCGAGAACCGTTTGCCAGTTGGGAAAATGGCCCAGCCCGATGTTAAGAGTTTGGAACGGCGCGAAGAAAGGGACGAACGTAGGCAAAGAAAAAAGAGAAAAGAGAGGACAAATCGGATGCGGTCGATCCGAACGAATCGACTTCGTATGAAGCTGTTCGTTATGAGCCAACAAAAGATGTACAGTTAATGTTCTATTTTAAATTTTGTCCCGCTAGTTCGCTGCGAGCTTTTGTTTGATACATACAGTTGTTGTTAACAGGTTAGTTTCGATACTATTGGAGGATACTTTTCGATTAAGGAGCAGATGTGGCGGGATGTGCTAAACCCGTTTCGTGAACATTTGAAGAGGCGACCAAAATTCTTTCGTTTGGGAATACTGTTATATGGGCCACCAGGTATTTCGTTTTATCTGACAGCTGGTTTTGGTTAAACAATGGTGAAACCTTTAGGAACAGGAAAAACTGTCATGGCCAAGGCGGTGGCATACGAGTGTGGAAAAGGCATTCGGAATGTTCCCGTTTTCGCCGTTGCAGGAGCTTCACCTTTATCCAAATATATAGGGGAAACAGAAGCTCGTTTGCGCGGGATCTTTCGCCAGGTCAGTAACATCAATGCGCACGAAGTTTCAAGCTCGTGTTTGTAAGTGTCTAGATCTTTTCCGTATCTTTACCGCTGCAAGGTGTATAAGACAAATTAGTGTTGTTTTTATTTAGGCGAGACTAATATCTCCTTCCATGGTTATAATCGATGAGATCGACGGTTTATTTCGGCATCGGTAGTTTAGTTCGTGCGGTTTTCATTTTTTGGGATAAGAGTCAAACCGTACCACGTATTCTGTATGCTTTTCGTTTGAAAGCCGTGTATCAGTTTAAAAGCTAGAGTTTCAATTTGTAGATTCTTAGCCGTGGTATTGTTACAAAACCGTGGAGTGTTACAAAACCGTGGAGACGTCGATTGGTGATCCAAGGAAATCGTACTTGCGCGCTAACGATTCAAGATAGTTGAAATCGATTACTACAGTTTCAGCATCACATCGTGAACAATTATTGTACGATGATGTATGAGTATCAGTAGGCTTCGCTTTAACTATTAGGCTGCAGGCTGTGTCCTTGTGATTGCAACAACGAACTATAAAGAAGTGTTGGATAATGCTATGCTGCGCGCTGGTAGATTCGATATCAAAATTTTCTTTTCGGCCACCAACACGGAAGACCGGAGCCTTATATTGGATGTTTTGACACGAGGCTGGAAAAAACCTTTAGAGGTCGAGGATCGCGCAGCTTTGGCAGGTAGCACGGATGGTCTGATGTTTTCAAGATGTTGTGTGCGAAGAAACTTCTGCAACCTTGTTGGTCTGTAGGTTTTACGGGCGCTAATTTGGAATTGATTTGCAAAAAGGCCAAAAACCTGATATCAGCAAATGAGAATGCTGGCATAAAAGAGGTATAACTTTGGGGCATTCAGATCGACCATCGCCGATTGCGTTTAAGATGGTTTTTCTGTTAGTAGGATCAGCAGCGTGTATTTTTCAAAGCACTTTGGGATGTTGATCCATGCCCGGCTGCGCCTTCCATTTCCCCAGTATTGTGTTCCCCCTTGGACGGACGATTAAAACTGCTGGCGGAGCAGCAGTTACAACAGCTGGTGAACGAACTGATAGCAGTTTACCCAATTCGAATGCCTGGAAATTGTACGGATATTTACAACAGCGCGTTGTGGAGTAACTTCCAGTAAGTGTAGATGCTTAAATTGCTTGGAGCATAACACTTATGTGCATTTGCTCCCGATCTACTTGGCGTTGTACAGGCTGGGATTGAATGGTTGGTCCAAGAACAAAACGTTACTAAAATATTCGTTGTTTGCGTAGAAATAAAACCTGTCTCTAAACCACCGTGTCTCGGTTTAAACTCATATTAACCGTGGAACGGCATTGAGATTACTTACCGGGCCACGGGTACGTCTGTTATACCCAGATAGTGCTTAATTGACTCCATTTTTATTATTTTGCAATTAGCAGCTTTCTTTACCCAGATAGTGTTTAAGGGTCAGTTTACAATCGACCATGATACGGTCGAAATAAATAATTTCCGTTACATTACGCTACAAATCACTTGTGAAACAGCCAATTCAAGCTTAGGCCCTCAGAATTGTTATGCAAGGACATAATAACCGTGCTATGGCTTTTTTACCAACCACCGTGCCGCTGCTATCAATAAAAGTGCCATTTACGGGAACAGCTCCCGGGAAATATTCGCTGTAGGTTATCTGTATGCAGGTGCGGTGCGCTAAAGTTTGGCTATCGACCAGCAATGTTCCTGTATACGGCCGGGGACGCTTTGTTGTTGGATCTTGCGACATCGGCTTTATTTCATCAAATTGCCATGAAGCAATCAGTGAAAAGCATTGATTTGCGATCTGCACGGTGTAGTGCGATGCCTGAAGTGTGCGGAAATTGGGTTTGTTGGTTTTATCATTGATCTGCAAAAATATGTACAACAAGGTTTGGCTTACTAGGCAAACTGGGAGACGATGATCAGCGAAGGATCCTGTGTTTTGGGTTTGTTCCATGTGGAAAGTTTGACCAGATCCTGTACGGACCAGATCACCTTCCCGGATTGGTTACATCAATGTTTGTCCAGGAGGAGCTGGTACCACGCTCCCCTTACAATTGTTACAAGCAGCCGCGGTCCTGAGGCGTTTGGAGAGGAGGTGGAATAAAAACAGATAATCTGCGTTTTGTTGGAGGTTTAGCTTACTGGTTGTTCCAGTTTGTGATTATATTTTAATGCAGCTGTGCTAGAACCTTAGGTTTCTAACTGCTTGTTTGCAGCTAACTACGACCTTTGGAGAAACGTTACGGCAGTTTCAAATTTTAGCTCCAGATTCTGCCCAGGTGAAGGTATTTTTTTCGGGTTTGATTGAGTCAGCATCCCGTCTGGAAGACCTGTGTGCGGTATGTATTAATTCGTTGGTTCGTGCTTTATGCCTCCCTGCGTTACAATCATGCTTCGGATTCAATTCGTAGCGGAGTAATTCCCGAACAAGTCTAACCATCATCCCACGATTGGAGGCAGATCTGAGGATGCTCACCA